AGCCCATGGTAAACCTCCAGAAACATGTCAGGGTAAGCATGCTAGAGCTCGTTTCTATTGTTTCTACATTTGATACATACACCTGCCCAAAAGTAATTTACTGGATCATGAGATGCTTCAACGATTGGACCGTTGAGATGTTCTTCATGCCGAAATTTTCGCCTTCGACCAATATTATCGGAGTCATTGAGGATTCCTCCTCCGGTTGTTGAAGCTCGTTGAAGGTAAGAAAAGGTCTAATTCTTGGAGTAAATTCGGATGATCTCGAATGATGTCTTTGAGGTTTACCACGAGCTGCGAAGTAGTAACCCGTCCCAGCTTCCATGAAAACAAAAGCTCCAAGAAGTTCTGAAAAGTCCCCTCGTCCAAAGCGAGCCTCACCTGAGACAAAAAATTACGAGAGAATGACATGTGTGCTTCACGATCGGAGCAAGTACAGTTTCGGCGCACCATGATCTTTCTCCTCCTGCCTCCGCTCCAATCCAAAGCCCGTCGTTGCATCCAATGCACTTCTTGATGAAAACCTGCAGAAACTTCAGTATGAATTCAATTCAATTTACTGCGAAACAGCGTTGATACAAAAACACACCGAAGCCAGCGGCAGGCAAGCAAAGCAGTGACCAACAAACAATAGCAGCCGAGCAAAAGAAAACGAGCACCTAATGCAGAAGCAAATACCCCAGGCAGACACCACCTCCACCGGCCAGAAGTAAATCAAACCCGAACCGCGGAACACCCTAGAATACCAAATACCAAACACAGAAAAGCCACGAATCTTGGGCTCACCTAACCAAGCTCCAGAAATAGCACCCACACAAACAGGCGGAATAGAGAAAGGAAACGGAGTGTAGTGGGAAGTGCTGCAATAGAGTGCCAGAACGAAGGCCCAGGGGGGAGAGTTCTAACGAAAACGGGAACAAGCTCGAAACCGTCAGTCTCACGGCACTGCCCAGAACCACGAGCCTGCACTTGGATGACAACCCACTTTTCGAGAAAAATGCACCTTCCAGCAAATTTTCAGAACAACCGGGCGTAACGTGAAACCTTGGAGATAAAGCTAAATTGGGGCGGATCTACAACCCTACTAGCAGAAGGCGAAAAAGGATCAGTTCCGTACTTAGTTCCAGGTCAGAGTAATGTTCTGAGCGTCTGTTGAAACATCTCTCAATTCTAATAGTGAATTTTCTAACTAATGAGTTTTGTAACATTTGAGCAACAACCAAAAACTACTTGGGAGTACTAAAAATGTTCGACTTTTTCCATAGAAAGATAACGACCTCTATCATGTTGACATTAACGATTAGAGTATAGATACTTATTCCCATTCAGCCAAAGATGCCGATATATGCCGTCATTAGCATTGAATGCACTTCTTTGAATGCGTCCCATTCGATTCTTCGCTGCGTCCAGATTGCGACGCTCGACTCCTTTTGGAGGGAAGATTCGATTTTGAATTCCATTGAAACACACCTTGGACCGCATCTCCTTTCCTCTTCTGTTCCTACAGCCCCAACGGTCTTTTCCATATGTAGGTACGGCGGTTGGAAGTTTTCGGATGCGTCAATTTCAAAAAATTTGTGGATGTTTGCTTCTGTGTGTTTTTGTTTTATCTTTCTAGACTATGGAACTATAAATTATGATAAATGGTAAATAGATCAAGCCCGTGGGACCCAAAGGGTCAATTGGCTAAAATACACAACACAATTTCCAAACTAAGAGAGAACCAAAAGAACCCCTAGCTAGTGGCAAGAGCGCTAGAATGAAAACTAATAGCATCCCTCATAAAACAATCAAAGTCATAAGACTCAAGCTGCAATAAAGAATAAAAATTCTCAACAACAATAACCTTAGTAGAGCTTAGAACTTGAGACTCACCATCTATAATAACAAGAAGCGTCGTCACTAGACTTGAGTCCCTTAAATCATTTTAAACTCAACCCTTCCTAGTACTATCTTTTAATTCAAATTGACCAATCTAGGTATGATAGTAGGTCAACTGAAATATGTTTACTGGATAAATATAAGACAACTTGAATAAACTGTTGGTGGCCTTCTTAAATTAATATCGAATCTAAAAAGATGTGATTCAAATTCCTGGTTTGAAATTAGATTAATAGGGAGTTTATGAAGATGTATGTGAAAACAACGTATATAGTCTTCTTAGTATATCATAAACTCGATTCAAAGCCTTCTTCTGACTTTCATCTCTTCTGAGGTTTTGCAAGCAATACTGATTCAGAGTTGTTTTATATCCTTGTTAACCCGACTCGATTGATACGAATTTGTGACATTAGCATTACGACGTCCCGTCAGGTGATTCCCTTATATTTCGTTCATCAAGCTTTACGGTAGTGTGATCTGAAAGAAGCTACAGATGATCTCATCTCTCACACGCGCAGAGAGTGCTTCACTTCTGTTTTCTTCAATGCTGTTCTTTCCCAAAGCTGCCACTCACTCTTTCTGGTTCAAAATATTAAGCTCAGTTTTTGAAAGTTTCCGCATTTTGACTGCCACCTTCTTATTAGCTTGAGAATCAACAAACATCGGAAAGAGTGAAAGATAAATTTGAACTAAGTGATTCAAAGGATGTAAAGAACTATGTAACTATTTGTCCTATGATTATGTTAAAAAGCAGAATCTGAAGGTGGTGATTTGTCGAACAATTAATTTTAATCTATACTTCCATTTTTCTAATAAATTATCGATAGAAATGAATTCATATTATTATTATCGTTTAATGAAAGAAACGTGTTTGTATTGGTTCTAATTGCAAAATCTTTAAATGCAATTTGGATATGAGATATATGCTGTATGATTAAATATTTTAGAAGAAATGATTCGGATTCTATGCTCTAGTTTGTTAATATGTTGTTTTCAGGTTCCCTTTTTTCCCCTGAAAAATATTTATATTTTCTTATCATTTACATCTCGACATGAGATTTTTGAAAGTGATGTAATGGAACTCAAATTAAATATATTTTAATCAGATAGAAAGATACGCATCCTTTCTCACTGAAAAAAAAAATGAGTTCTGTGCCACACCTTAACCCTTTATGTAAATAACAAGCGTGCACATTGGTGTAGTCAAAGAAGACTTTCAAAGTGTACGATACTTTGTTCAATGTTTATATCATTCAACATTCCTTTCCAAGTATCTGTGGCGATATGAGTAATTATCTTCTACGCAACAGTCCCCCATATAGACAGTTGTTTTGACGTATTTATTTTGAATTTCTTGTAGAATTGAAGAAAAATATACACTTGACTCTCTTCATGATTGATTCAAAGGTAAAAATTGCATTTCAGGGTTTATTACACAAACGACTACTACATTGATAGAATACTGTTAGATTGACAATTTTTCTTGTTTACTAATTTTGATTCTTTTCCAATCTTGACTCTACCGTCCACATCGGTAAGTAAGAGTTAAATGAGAATTTTTTTATGAATTTCTTGACCTTTTCCCGAGAGGGTAGGGTTGGGTGTGTACAACAGCTCAATTGTTCCTTTCAAAACAATCAGGTCGATGAGACTCCAAGCTGGAGGCAAGAACAATCTCTGGCTAAAAGTATAACTAATGCAGCTTGGCCATTTCCCTTATATCATGGCATAAACTCGTTTCAAAGCAGAATTTAGTCTTTAGCACACGAAATTGAATCATGAGTAAGCTTCCTTTGAATTATATGATCATTGAGATGTGTTGGAATCCAGGAAAGCTAGGTTCCCGTCTACATATGCAGATTCAAACAAAAGTAAAAATCACATGATAGCAAGGTTCTGATTAGACAAGTTTCAGTAGGTCAGGAATTTATGTAGTATGTAGAGAATTGGAAACAACCACACTACGACCTCTTCAAGCTACGAATTAAGCTTTAACGTTGCCTTCCAAATTTAAATTCACAACTTAATTTAAAATGAGTCCTCGTGTGGTGTATGCCGGGGTTCTATTGATTTCATGATCTTATTATTTCACTGAATTTTTTTGTTAGTGGTTTCATTGTATATATCACGTTAGATAATCTTTTAACAAATAGAAGATATCAACGAGGAGTCGTTTATTGTGATTTTGAGCATTAAAAATTTGTTCTAGTGCTATTGTCCGCTGTATAAACATATAAATTTGTTTCGTTTTCTTTTCTAGTTCAGTCCTATCGTGATTCAATGTAAGGTTATATATCTGTAGATAATTTTCATTATGAAGTGATAGGGATTTGTAGATGATGAAACAAGTGAAGTTTTACATTCCTTTAGTATAACTTCAGAATACGAAAGAAGAAACGACGATTAAAGAGTTACATTTTGTAGTCAAAATCATTCTTATAATGGCACCATAACTATGTTCGATTTTCTGATTGGAGGTGTATCATTTCTTGTTTTACTTAGATAATGATTTTAATCTTTAATTTTAATGTACCCGTCTACCTAAGTTTGAGATTTGGGGCATTTATTACCAGTCGTTATGGCTTTCAATGCAGTAAGCAATTGCATAGGCAACTGCACCGAAACTTCATTTCTTCTTATCCACGTGTGCAACTTTCAAGACTGCTCTAACGAACTGAGTAATTTTTTCGTAATCTCTACAAACTGGACTGGCCCGGTCCAAGCTCAACATCTCAAGTCAATTAACAGTGACATCTTCGCCGCACAAAATCTCGTGTGAGCATCCAGGCGCAGAAATTGAGTCTTCCAAGTTTCACACGTACCATGGAAGTAGCTTCTTGTGCAATCGGCTTAGATTTTTTTTTTATTATTTATAGTAGGTGCATCATTATTTTTGGGAAATAACTTAGTGGTTGATAGTGTTCGTCTGTCAAGCCAGCTGTCATAGATTCAGATTTCGCTCCCCAGTGAGACTTCAATTTGATTGTAAATTGACTTAGCAGATTTCGAAAAAATTCCGTTGCAGACACGGCTAACAAACAAACCTGTCACCCTCGTGGCAATAACGTAGACTTCTCACGAAAGCATTTGAAGTTCTACGAGAGTTTGTCGTGAGGTGAAACAGAACTTCCTAGCTCAAGCAATTTCGTTTCTCCTTCAGTTCCTAATCTGAGCACATATCCAACTGCAAAAGGAAGACTTTGGGAGCTAGAAAACGCAGCATCTAGGGTATTATCTCGAAAACAGTCTCGGATTGTGTATCATGCACATGTAACAAACATTCTGCACGTCTTTCCATCGTTCAATCCTACTCATCGGTCGCGCAGCTCGATGCCGATTCTTCGATTCTTTTCTGTTCTCCACGGCTCCTTCAGAAACATGACACTGTCAGAAGCATGGTACTGTGGCTCCCCGGCCGCAGGTCAAGGAAAAGAAAGCAGTATCTGGGACAAGGCATAGACCGGAAGTATTGACGTGAGGATACTGCTGATAGCCAGCGCAGCTCGTGCTTCAGAGAAGTCTACCGCTGCCGGCCCTGTGAGGGACCTGGTACCTGGGATTTGAAGATATTGCGTAGAGTGCGGGGCAAACATATATCCTGCCCATACAGATAGAAGAAGAGTTCACCATAGTGGAAGCATCCATGAGGAGGAAAGGGGGCATATCGGGACTGAGAAGTTGCAATGATCAGCAGAAGTATTCAGTGAAGAGTTCTGAATGCTTTGATGGCCCAGGAACAGGTCTCGACTCTAAGTCCAATCCATCAGTCGAGGAAAATGGTGCAGCATCGGAGCTGAGATCCTGCCAGCAGAGTACTAGTCGAGCAAGCAGTTCGAACGGGGATCTTTGCAATGATTCTGTCATCTGGAAGTCCTCCACTAATCATGAAGTCCGGAGTTTTTTCACGAAAGTAGCTGCCATTTGTGCTTACGAAGGCACCAAGAGCACCCTGCACAGTCAGTGGATGAGGTTCGCGGGCACAACTAAGCTTTCGCTCCATCATGATCATGATCAATGCTCTTGGAACGAAAGCGGAGGAAAAACAGGAAGAGTAGGAGATTACTTCCCGCTAGTACCCAATGACGCCGGCCTGAATTGCTTGACTCGAATCTCCCTCACACACATAACAACTGCAGCTGGGGTTTGCAAAGTTTGGCGCGAGTTTCTACTGGGGCCTGATTTCTACAAGTACAGGAGGTCAATGAATGTGAGAGAGGATTGGGTATTTATACTGGGAAACAACATGCGGAACGAGTGGAAAGTTTACCGTCCAGCTTTCAATGACTGGCTCGTCCTACCTCCATGTCCCTACGACTACATGTTCAGCTCGTGCGACAAGGAGAGCATGATCGCAGGGTTGAATCTCCTGGTCTTAGGTCAGTCACTGGATGGGTACAAAGTATGGAAGTTCGACGTCATCAGATTCCAGTGGTCCATAGCTCCGAGAATGCATTCCGCTCGCTGCCTTTTTGGCTCCGCCACATCCGGATCATTCGCATACTTCGCAGGAGGAACCAACAACGGGTCCACGCTAAAGTCTGCAGAGCGCTTCAATGCGGAGACAGGGCGCTGGGCAACGCTTCCGAACATGAACAGAGAGAGGAAGTTGTGCTCCGGATGCATCATGGATGGAAAGTTCATAGTCATCGGGGGGCAAACGAATGATCAAATACTGGAGTGTGGAGAATTGTATGATCCCATGACCAAGCGATGGACTCTGATCGAGGGAATGTGGCCGCGAGCTTTTGCTCCCAGCGCAACTGGGGCACCTCCACTCGTCGCAGTTTTGAATAATGAGCTTTTTGCGATCAATATCCTGGAAAATAAGTTGATGATCTACGAAAAAGACCTGAATCTGTGGCATCTGCTGGAAGCCATACCCGAGAGAGGGCGGAATGTAAGCGGATGGGGTCTCGGTTTCAAAGCAGTCGGGTCAGAGCTTTTTGTGATCGGAGGCTCGCGAGATGTCGCGGAGTGGGTGCCTTACATCCATGCTTATCAGCCGACATCGAGACAAAGCGGAAAGTGGAGATTTGTCGTTGACCTTCAAGGTCCAACTAGCGGATTTATTTTTAATTGTGCAGTCATGAGTAGTTGATGTAAGCTGAGATTAAACACTCTTCGCACAGATCGGTCCTCACATTTCTAACTTGGATTCTGCAATGGGGAGTGCGGAACCAGAAGATGAGTTCTGTCAAATGCGTCTACAGGAGCACCTTGCAGTGCACTGAATCTTCTCTGGTAACCTTCCTCTCATTCAGACTCGATGAATGGCCGCAACGCTCACTTCCGTGAACCCATTTATTCTCCTATCAAATCATTTATTCAACAAATAAATTTAATCACTATATTATTATCGAAGTGCACGTAGTCTCCAAAACCGTTGAAGCATCAGAGATACTTTTGATGCGAGCTTTATGTGATAATACTGACCTCTTTTTTGTTAAATATCGAAAGTGAAAATCAGCTCGGAAAGGTTTCCGACATATTTTGGGTAGAGTTTTGCTCATTCAGAAAATAGACTACGAATCTTGGCCTTCACTAACATTCTTAAAAGTCATAGATTATTTGAACAAGAGCTGTGACTGCGTCTTTGCGGTCAACATTCATTCTTTTTTGAAATGATTTTTTTATATCCAAATTCAGGATTCATATCGAAGGTGAAAGCACTGTGAAGTATTAAAATTGGCCAGCCTTTCATTCAATCTCGTCACCATGATTGGATTAAATAAGTTTAATTGACGAAAAAGCTTGATTTGGGCAACGATATACTTGGAACACGTGCCAGTTTCTCCATAGAATGCCATCTTGTGTGGAAAAAGCTCAATAACATATACCTGTGTGTCATTTTCTCAAAGGTTCTATTATGTGACTCAGATGTCCAAGTCTTAGAGCTGCGATGGATACATTTAGAACATTGCGATGGAGGTTATGAGAAATCCGGAGCTAATTTTGAGCAATCTGTATTCTCAGCTAACGACCAAACCTTAAAAAATCACGAAAGGATATCTCGTTTTCTCCTCGAACCATGTGCGTTGTGTTACATGTGACTCATCCTGTTGACCTGCAAAGACCTGGAAGAAAACCTCAAAGTCTCATGCTTTTCTCTACAAAGTGACAGCCAGTTATACTGTTCATATCACGTGCATCTCGAACAACTGTAACCGATTTCTATCGGTTTTGATTTTGCAATACGCTCGGTCGGCGGTTGACCAGTGAAGTTGTACTCACTCGTGATCCATCCATCACCTTTCCAAAAGTGTGGAACCTGATCGTCCATCATTTAATCTACCTTTCCTTCCTTAGAATTTGAGGCTTCTAACAGAATTGTGATCGTGATCATCATCACTATCAGGATCCATGAGAGTGTTGCACGAAGAGCTACAGGTTTTGATACAAACTCTGAAACATTGAGTAGGAATGTATTTAGACAGTGAATCTTATAAAAATTCAATGTCTTCACTCGGATTTTGAGACCTACAGACAAATTGAGCATCCAAGAAGGATATTCCTCTAACTGTACCCATACTTGCATTCTTAGAATTATAGTTTGTACGACCGATGTTGGTATATAATTTTGGTACGCGTCACTTTTGATTGCAATTTTCCTTCAGTTGAAGATAGTGAAGAGGGTAGATTGAGTAAATTCACAGTATACGTTCGGGTGAGGAGTAATAATCAGTCAAGGCACTCTTATTCAGGTACAGGCGACCAGATCCTCATTTTTTGATCCTCTCTTTCCTCAGGTAAACGATCAATTATGAGTTCAAGTAGGGCTTGAATCTAAAAGAAGTAATCAAGGCGTGTCAAAACATAAGAATCTAGCATCTACACATGTCGTGGGAAGGAAAGTCCATCTTCAATTCTACCAAAATTTTTATCGGGGAATTCATCAATATATATATATATATATATATAGAATTGAATTTATTTACAGTTAGATCATAAAAAAACACAGAAGAAGGAAGTGCTATGACATTTTTGAAGGTAAACGGCTGATGAAGACATCTTATCGGGAATACATACTAAAGCGAATATTTAGTCTTCCGAACTCGAACTAATTTTGAGCCATTGGGTCTCACTTCAGATGTGAGGTCCACTCGTCAAGGAGCAAAGGGAGTTTGTGAAAAAATCAGAGCAGGTGAATTTGCCTTCTAGAGCGCTTATATTGACAAATATAAGCGCATCATAGTATAAAGTATAGTATTCACATGCATCTTGAAAAGTATTAATGCTCTGAGAGTGGAGAGAAACAGAATATACTGTCCTTGTGTTCAGCTTCCATGTATTTGAAAGAAGTTGAGGAGCTATCATCTCGTGACCAGGGAGGTGTCGAAGGAGATGGGCATTCTTTGAGCAAGCTTTCTTCTGACTCTCGTCTTAATGAGTTTCCAGTCATTCTAGCTTGTATGTTGAAGACTATGAAACGAACCCAATCAAAGCGAGCGTGGACCCAGTTGTCCTTCTTTATCTCTAGGTGCTAAGCAGATTTGAGGAAATAGTTGATTTCCCCTCTAGGGATCTTATTCAGGTCCTTCGGGCCCTCGATACCCAGCCCCTCTATCACTAGAATGGTAGCTTCAATCAAGTGTGAGAGAATCAGATACGATCATATCTGATCATAACAACAGTTCTGCTTTTCCCCAATGAATCAATGAAGGGTACCTTACTTTCACTCACAGAACTGAAGATGAGACTGAGGAGGTTGCCCGTGAAGATACAATCACTGGACGAACAGGTCCTGAAAATCCAGAGGGATCGTATTCAGATTCTCTTCATCGTGAGATAATTCCCTTGAAAGCAGCAGGATCGTGAGATAAATGGCCATAAACATTACCCCAAAATCAATTCTCCTGAAAGATGCACTTCTGACTTTGAATCATATCACTACTTCAGACAAAAATCAAATTTTCACTTTATAAAAAAATAAAACCGATGCTTGAACTGCTATGTCGTCTATTCTACATAAAAATATGTAGACCCATCTGGAAAATATACTAGAACGATGCACATATAGTGGAAACAAGATATACACGAAAAGTAAAATTCATGATGATCGTACATTTTGAGTTTTTATGGTTTCTTATTTGCAGTTATTGTTCCAATATTTCGATGGTGCAATTGGAATGTGGAAGTCATTTTCTAAAAAATGATGAAGATGAGCTAACCAGCCCGTAATATATGCTAAGGTTTGTCATAGATTGAGTTCAGTAAGAGCTAAAGTAGGTCACACGAGCTAAAATTAAGTCTCTATGAAGTGAAATAATAGAAGGCGTTGTTGCAAACATCAACAGGAAGGCCGATCTGCAGCAAATGATCATCACATCCTCATGCTAGCAACACTGGTGCTTTCTCGGGGATGATGACAGTCTCATTGATGATTGCTTTCTCGCTTGGCTTGGATTTTGCACAAGAGGACATTGAAGACCCGGATTCCGTGGAGTATTTATGACATGCACTCCAAAAACATTGTAAATTTCTTGCACTCCTCATTGTTTCTTACATCCGTGTCACACTCACTTTACAACTTTTCCAACCATGAAATTATTCCACCCCTTCATAGTTCTATACAAGCACTAGGAAAGGGTGGAAAGGTGTGCTTTGAAATTTATTTACCAACTTAAACACCCTACATTTCACACACGGGGCAGAAGTCCACTTATCTTCACTGTTTTGATATGTCCGTCTAAAGCTACTGTAGAATCAGTATGAGATTCTTTATTTGAAAAATTAAACCTGCTCAATTTACCTCTATATTTTTTTATAAGGAAATGATTGTTTTCTCGATAGTTCAAAGCAGTTCTCTCCATATTGGCAATCAGTTCTGGTTTGTGAGTCTCTACCGTCTCATGCGTCATAGTCAGATAGTGGTATCGAAAAGACATTCCTTCTGATTGTGAATGTACATTTGTAAACCAGTGCAACAAACGAGAAGCGTAAATATCTCTGAAAATGCAAAATCACTAAGATTTAATAAATGAGCATCATGTGACCACTCAGAAACAGTTTCTAGGCTCTATGTCAAACCATCATTTGTCAAAGTCACTAAAATAACTTAAACATGCACATCTTATATGTAACCTTTCAGACCTCAACAATAATTTACATATATGATACAATGTTAACCAATCTACGCAAATTTGATTAAGAAAAACGCATTTGATATGATTTCATGCTATCACTTTGAATATTTCAAGAGAAAATTATAAACAAGAGTTTGATTCGAAATTCGAGTACGTGTAAGTTGATCAGATTCTTCAATTTCGACCTTCAGTTATATAAACAGAACAGGCGTTTTGTGTCAGTTGGTCTTGTACTTAATTTGAAGGATATTTAGATTCCAAATAGTTTTCTGTTGTTGTATATTGCGATAACGGATCTTCAACATTCTGTTGAATACGTCACCATTGAACTTATCACGGCAAAGATTAAAATATTCACTTGGGTTGGACTGTGGGCTTCATGCTTAAGATACTTTCGAAACACAGAAAGTTCATCCATAATTCTCCTCAACTAAATTCTCCTATCCCAGTTTTACAACTCATGCAAATCAAATTCTTATCATCAAAATTTCAACATCATAGACAATGAAAACTTAATCGATGTCTCTTGCATTGACAGTTCAGGACATTGCATGTTTCTTGTGATATAAGACTAAAGTTCTTCACAAGATCATCACGAGAGGCAATGGATAGCAAAACAACGTCTCTACCACTCACATATACCACCGAAGGTCATCCTATCTGTCAAACTAGTCTAGCACTAGTATGTTTTATAGTCAGATCACGAGGTTGCATGTTGAGCATTATCTTGACAGATTTCATTATGTGATCTGAACGAAACTGATCATGATGAGTATGCATCAAGGCAGCTCACGCTAGTGAATCAGTCTTCAACAGAACCGAAGATCTTGAAGTTACAAAAGCCTGCATCCACCACCAAGTTCTGACCAGAGATGAAATTGGAATCGTTGCTGCAAAGAAACAGAGCGGCAGCTGCTATGTCTTCTCGAGTGCAGTGCTTGTCCAATAGGGGAGACTTTTTGGTGTAGCCAGCGATGAGTTTCTCCTCTTCAACTTCTCGACCCAGAGACTGCATGTAATCAATAACCATCCCGGTGGGAACACTGTGTGGGGATATGCAGTTCACTCGGATTCCCTTTCCTCCAAGATGGAAAGCTGCGATTTTGGTGATTCCCGGAAGAGCATGTTTGTTGAGGTTGTAGATCAAGGGCAGGTCTGGCCCTGTCATGACTGCGGCCACGCTTGCGGTGGTCAGAATGACTCCACTTCTACGGGGAATCATGGCTCTTGCAGCATGCTTGATGCCGCACAGAACGCCTCTGACCATGATAGAGGTGTATCGATCGTACTCGATGAGGTCCAAGTTTTCCAACTTATCATCCGGCGGCGTTATGACTCCCGCATTGTTGAACATTATGTCCAGCTTGCCGAATTCTTTCACCGCGAATTCGACGGTGGATTGAATTTCTGCCTCAAGAGTGACATCTGTTCTTTTGTACAGCACGCTGGGCCCCAACTGCAAAGCTGCTGCTCGACCATGCTCCTCATTCACATCTGCAATTATAACCTTTGCGCCATGCTCATTGAACAGCTTACAGGTCGCCAATCCGATTCCTCTAGCTCCTCCTGTGATTATGGCTACCTTGTCCACCAATCTGTACAAATGTGCTTGTGAGTAGTCATAGAGCAGCTATCCAAGATTGCATGGTGATTGGAAAATTCACAGTAGTGAATTAAAGTTTCATAAATAGACATATGTCTTGACATACTCATGGTATGCCGAAGTCCATACGATTACATGTCTTTTACTATTATTTTCGTGGAATAATTTTACTGTGAAAAAATGATTTTTCAAAAAATTTATATCATATTTCCGTGATTGTTCAATCTACTTCTTCCCTTCCTATCTTGGAATTACCTTTCAATGTGTGACATCACTCACCTCTTCTGACACTAGTCCAACACGAATTCCGAGAATATATATATATATATATATATCTCCAATAACATATCTTATATTCCAAATCCAAAATCTACCTGGGGTTGTATTTATATCTATTAATGCTTCCGAAATAGCTTCAACCTAAAACTAAAATAAAAACTTGTCCAAAAATGAGAATAAATGAGAAAAGAAGGAGTAGTATCACTATAATTCAAAAGCTGGTGTATATATCATACCTCATCATTATTCCGTAAGTTCCAATCTTTGCGTTCCGCAATTTGATTACTCGTCCTCAACCTTGATACAGAAAAGAATTGAAGATATAAATTTAGACAAGTATTGTACTCTGGAGTATATAATGGTTCCTGTTCGAGCGGCCGTGAGACGGCCTAATGGAATAGACAGATTGCTGCCCACTATGTTCTAAAAACCCTGTAAAGATCTCATCAAGGAAGAAACAGAACCGTAACCTGTGCTGAATCCCATAGTATCATGATGAGAAATATATCCTACAACAACTAGACTACTACACCATAGACCTGAATCACTTTCCACCCACTATAACCGCAATGCAAAATCAAAATTGATCAGATGATGATTTTATATCAAATTAAACTGCATTGTTGATACCTGGATGAAATGAAACAGCTGAATGTATACAAATAACTGATGTGTTGAGTTCTCTTGAAGTACTGGAAATCTTGGTGCTGTCCAAATTGCAATTTGTGTACCGTGTTGAGAATGTGAGAGAGCTCAGAAATCAGAAACTTGAGAGTGAATTTGATGCACTTTAAGACTTCTGCACTCAAACTTATACATATTACTAGACCCAGTGGCAGATTCTTCTCCGAACTAGTGCATGGGTATATGATCCGACAATGAAATAAGTTTAGATAGTAGTAGTTTGAAGGAAAGAGTTTTCTAGACCAATAACAAACAAATAAGTAAGTTAGTGGAAGTCTTGCAAAAGATGATCACTCTGTCCAGCTTCTTTAAATTATATTACTATGAAAACTAGACAAGGATGTTCAAGAAATTTTAACACCTCTATCAAATAAGCATATGGGCATCTCTATCAATGTGCTGCATTCAATCTAGGTTGCATTTTCAGAACTGTTCAAACAGAGATCTAAGGTAGTGGAAGTCTTCCAAAACATGATCACTCTATCCAGCTTCTATTAGTTATATTGCTGTGAAAACTTGACAAGGAGGTTGGAGAAATTTTAACATCTCTATCAAATAAACATATGGTCATCTCTATCATTGTGCTGCAATCAATCTAGGTTGCATCTTCAGAATTGTTCAAACAGAGATGTAAGGTAGTAGAAGTCTTGCAAAACATGATCACTCTATCTAGCTTCTATTAATTATATTGCTGTGAAAACTAGACAAGGAGGTTGGAGAAATTTTAACATCTCTATCAAGTGAGCATATAGGCATCTCTATCACTGTGCTGCATTAAATCTAGGTTGCAATTTCAGAACTGTTCATACAGAGATGTAAGGTAATGAAAGTCTTGCAAAACATGATCACTTTATCCAGCTTCTATTGGCTATATTTCTGTGAGAACTAGACAAGGAGCTTGGAGACATTTTAACATCTCTATCAAATAAAAATATGGTCATTTCTATCACAGTGCTGCAATTAATCTAGGTTGCATCTTCAGAACTGTTTAAACAGAGATGTAAGTTAGTGAAAGTCTTGCAAAACATGATCACTCTATCCAACTTCTATTAGTTATATTGCTGTGAAAACTAGATAAGGAAGTTGGAGAAATTTTAACATCTCTATTCAATAAGCATATGGTCATCTCTTTCACTATCATGCATTCAATCTAGGTTGCATTTTCAGAATTGTTCAAACAGAGATGTAACGTAGTGGAAGTCTTCCAAAACATGATCACTCTATCCAGCTTCTATTAGTTATATTGCTGTGAAAACTAGACAAGAAGGTTAGAGAAATTTTAACATCTCTATCAAATAAGGATATGGTCATCTCTATCAGTGTGCTGCATTCAATCTGGGTTGCATTTTCAGAATTGTTCAAACAGAGATCTAAGGTAGTAGAAGTCTTGCAAAACATGATCACTCTATCCAGCTTCTATTAATTATATTGCTGTGAAAACTAGACAAGGAGGGAGGAGAAATTTTAACATCTCTATCAAGTAAGCATATAGGCATCTCTATCACTGTGTTGCATTCATTCTAGGTTGCAATTTCAGAACTGTTCAAATAGAGACCTAAGGTAGTAGAAGTCTTGCAAAACATGATCACTCTATCCAGCTTCTATTAATTATATTGCTGTGAAAACTAGACAAGGAGGTTGGAGAAATTTTAACATCTCTATCAAGTAAGCATATAGGCATCTCTATCACTGTGCTTCTTTGATAAAGATGTTAAAACTTCAATAATCTTCTTGTCTAGTTTTTACAGGAGTAAAACTAATCAAAGCAGGATAGACTGATCATATTTTGCAAGACTTCCACTAAATTACATATTTTTTTTGTACCATTCTGAAAATGCAACCCATATTGAAAGCAACAGAGTGATAGAAATGCCCATATGCTTCTTTGATAGAAATTTAAAAGTAATTTTAAACTTTTTGTCTAGTTTTCAAAGCAATATAACTAATAGAAGCTGGATAGAGTGATCATGTTTTGCAAGACTTCCATTAACTTACCTATATGTTTGAATCAATCTGAAAGTGCAACTAAGATTAAAAGCAGCAAAGTGATAGAGATGCCCATATGTTTGTTTGATAGAGATGTAAAAATTCCTCTAACCTCTTTGTCTAGTGTTCACAACAATATAATCAATAGAAGCTTGATAGAATTATCATGTTTTGCAAGACTTCTACTAATTTACATATCATTTTGTCATCAGTCTAGAAAAATGTTCACTTCAAATACTTCTATCTAAAATTCTTTGATCGTCCAACCAAATAACCATGCACTAGGCTGGAGAAGAATATGGCACTGGTTCTAGTAATATGTATAAGTTTGAGTGTAGAACTCTCAAAGTGCATCAAATTCACTCTCAAGTTAGAGAATTTTGATTTCTGACATAACAATATAATTTTCTGAAATAATTTTTTAGTCGCGACTTGTTTTTGTATTAATAAAATAAAGCTATAGTTTTAAAATTGATTTGAAAATAAAAAATTCTACTCTTCCATCTGATCCAAGTTGGCACTATTCAAACACTTGTCAAATGGATAGTTTGAAATATGATTTCTGCTTTTATGTGATATATAAAACAAGAGATTATATGGTTTTTGCAACCTTTTTTTTCCTACCGTCTTCATATTCTTCCAATCCAAGAATCAAAGAGTTCTATAGTTGTAAGATGTTGTCAAAATCAAGATCAACAAACAAAATACGGTGACATGTCAAAAGAATCTCGTAACCACTTTTGAGATACTTCCACAAACCGACAAGTTTTTACTGAAACCTAATCAATGTTGAACGCAACCTATTGCCCGATCTCCTATAGTGGAAAAATTAAACCCTAATGAGCTAACAAAATTGTAACTCTAACAAGGATTAAACTAGCTAGGGCTAATCTCATAGTTAAATTAATATTAATAATATTTTTCTTAAATCTGTCGTGAACATTGTAATCTTCATAATCCATATAACTATTCTACATAAGATTCTATATAAAAAAACTCTAACATACGTTCATATTTAAATTAAAACTAAGGACTCTGCTCAAGAAAGAGGAAAACACAAAGAGTAAAGAACACGACATGGTTTAAACATGACTTGAACTTCTTACCTTCAATGTTGACTCTTGGCTTTGTGGCAAGGATAGTTCCATAGATCACCTTCTTTATGAGAAGGTTCCGTTCCGGTTGGGCACTAATCCTTCTTTTGCTAGAGTTTGCAGAATATTTTTGATAAATGCCTGCAACCACGTCATTACCAAAACGAGTGTAATTACCAGAATCAGCGTAATAAATACTTTGATGCAAAATTGCTCAAACATTAAAATCATCGCCACTATAACTCCAACAGATACTGACCACAGATAATGCAACTTGTCAGTCAAGGAGTTTTTAGAGTGGAGAGAGACCTGGGAGGTTGGGAGAGCGAGGTCGCACCTATGTCTTTCAGATCTTTACATTCTCAATTTTGCGTGTTCAGGCGAAAGGTAAGTATACTTCAACAACTTTAAAATTAACTCTTTTAACTCAAAAAACTGTGTTAAGTGACAGACCTTGAGAGCTTAGGAAATGCTGATTGTGGTGGCATTCCACGGGTGCCAGCGTCACCAGAGAAAGATCTCAATTGTTTCTCGAAGAAACCAATAAGATTGCAAACATTGTGTGTGCTTGGCAAGGGAGAGCTTGATCGCTGGTTTCTGACTCCTCCACTTGAGTGAGGAGCGAGAAATCAGATTTGCAATCTGAGTCAATCGTAATCACACAATGACTACTTTTTACTCGAATGTTTTTTTCATCCATGGTAATGCTCAAATACTATCGGAATGTCTCTTGACAAAAAATCTTTGTAGGTTAGTACAAAATACTAACCAAATAAATTTGAAACACAGGAAAATCATTATCATGTAAAAAAGAAACATCATAAAATCCATCACAAACCGTAAAATACCAAGCATATCAAGAAATAAATAGATGTCAGATATGTTAGCTTGAATAAAACGGAATTGCAGAAAGGTAGTGAATAAATGCGAGTGAGTATGAGCGAAAAGAGGTGATACCTTTTTCAAAGTGAAGAGTGTGAGTTTGAGCCTTTGATATTAGTTGTTTTACCCCTAATATCGTAAAGAATTACAGGGTTTCCCCTCATTGGCATCCATTGAAGCCACTGTGCTCATCCACTTTGAAGGACTATTACAAGGTGTCCATATCCTGGATTCTGTGAGCTATGAAGACTACGACGAAGCTGGCCACTGAAGCCATCTGCTTCCAGAACTCTTGTGTTCCTGAAGGCCATGAGGGCGTATACCTCAATCTTCTGCTCCTCGCGCTTATCGAGGTCCGAGAGGTTGGCCAGATTGACAGAAACTTGATGCTCCTGAGACTGAGCTTCCTTGGACATCCGATGAATTCTATCCTATCGGATGTCTTCTTGAGTATTGCTCTGCAATTTTGCTGTCGAATTGGACACTGCAGCTCGTAACCTTGGTCACTTAACCTAGATCAGACAGTGATAGCGATTAGGGTCGTAAGTCTCACGCTCACTTGCTGCTCTCAGATCGGTGGCAGGCATGCCAAAACTGCTGCAACGAAGGCCGCAAGTACGAACAGAACGGACTGGGCCAAACGAAACGAGGTCAAATTGACCATGTCGCAGATTCAACTGACGGGTCTTTTGATGTGGAAGGTGTTCATCGGTTGAATGCGAGTGGCGCCCTGGCGAAGTAGAAGGCAAAAGTATCACACTAAAATGCTGCTCCATGGCTGCGTAGTCTGTGCTGATCTGGGAGTACCCAGATGACATTTCCCGGTCAAAGTGAAGCCATCCTCAGAAGGTGAAGTTCAATATTATAACAGCCAAAATTTTTACAAAGATTTGGTTGAAAAGTTTTGTATTTATATTTTATTTATATTATTAAAAAATAATTTAATAATTATTTTTATAATTTAGTATAATTTTTTATGGATTTGATTAATTCTCTATATATGAGAACATGTCATTGACTAATAATAATTTTAAAAAAAAAAATTGAAGTGACATCATACTATTGAATATTAAAAAAATTTCATTCAACACGAAATCAAAATTAAGGTTTAATCTAAATAATAAAAATTCTATTATTTAATTAAAAAAATCAAAACTATAATACAATAATATATTTATAAATTCTAAATTTCCACATAAAAAAATGTATATCTCGTTCGTAACTTTTAGAAGTATTTTATTTATTTTATCAACTTTGGTTTTGATGGTTAAACTCAATCATAACAAGTTCAACATAATCATAATTAAAACTAATTATTATGAATTCTTGGTTAATATTAGAAATAATTCACAAATCTAATAATATTTTATTATATTTTATTTTATTATTATAAACCGTGATGAGATAACAATAATGAACGGAAATTATGTTTGTGAATATTGGTATTTTTTGTATCATTTAGCTTCAAATAAATATCAAGAATGCAAAATTTAAGTGAAGAATATTCTAAATTAAATACTT